AGCTTACATTATAATATTGTCATAAAGTTAGTATAATCTTCAATATTTCAACAAACTTACATGTTGTAAAAACAATACTTGCAAGGTTAAAACAGTGTAACTTTTTACTTTAGAATAATATTTGAAAAATATAATATATATTTTAATAGTTATATAACTTTAATTAATAACATTTTATTAGAAAACAACACCAGATGATTTTATAATCAATAATACAATTTTATAAAATTATCTCATGCATCTGTCACGGTATTATTCTGCCTAACCCACTGCTTGCAATCGTGAGCAGTGTTGCCGGCGGGAAGAAAACTTTAGTACCAGAAAAATGTACCAGATTCCGTCAAAATGTACTAGACTTATGTCCTTTTTTATTTTTGTTCATTGCGTATATCGAACATTATTATTAACTTAAAAAATATAATAAAAAGTTGCCTGAAAATCACAAATATAAATCACAAAAATAACATATATAATATGATATATTCATTCTATCAAATATACAAAAGATTTGTTTAGAACGAAATTGTTTACCTTTTTATGTTATTTATAAAAAAGTAGAAATAATCTAGTTGAAAAGTAGTTTTTAATAACAGTTTACAAATTGTAATTTTGTTACTAAGATGCTAAGCTTATTTTAACTTAATTGACTTTTAATATTAGGTACTACATAGCATTCGCAATGATGTTAAATTATTCTCGTTTCTATATTTCTATGTTTTCTATTTCTACAACATATAATGAGAAGCGAGAATAGAACGACATCTAGCGTCAGTACGAGTGCTGAGCGAAACATAATCATTAGAAGATGAATACACGTTAGGGGAAAAGATTTCTAATTGACTATCTGGGCTGTGTTTTAAAACTCTATTTAACGGGTAAGGTAGTATTTAATGACCAATCAGAATAAAGATAACTACGATTTCTTTGTCATGATCCCATACAGAACAAATATCCAAAATACATCTCATGGATATCTTATAGATATTGCGATATCTACAGGATATCTATGAGATATATTTTGGATATTTGTTCTGTGTGGGATTGATTAATTGAATGTTACTCTACTCGCCGAGTAGGATTTTGGAACGCAACTCTGGTGAACCAAAAAGTACCAAATGTATTAAGACTAGCCCTATTTGTGCCAATTTTATGCATTGTAGTACTAACGTACCAATTGTGAAGAAAAAGTACCAAATCTGGTACAAATATACCAACTTCGGCAACATTAGTCGTGAGACAATGGGCGCATTCAGTAGAAAAAGCGCTCAGTGAGCAATCAACGATTATTGGTTCTTGCTATTAGATCCCTAAATCTAGACCAATTACATTGACAAATTACTCAACTGTTGTGCAACTGTTGAGTCTGCTGAATGCAGCCATTATTAGGGCTGCGTTCTAAAATTCACTGCCAGTACTGCCAGACCTATAGTTTATGTTACGTATACTATAGATTTTCAGTACTGGCAGTGAATTTCGGAACGCAGTCTAGGTAGCTTTGGGTTGTCATATAATCATGAATCATATAATAGTAGTAGATGGTGATGTCTGTAACTTATTTCTGCTCTAGGGAAATGACTCGGAGAAGTATTATCGGAAACATCCAAGGTATCAATCATGAATCTTTTCACGTAAGTTTAATTTTACTATCGATCATATAACTTTTTTCTCTAGCATGAAATCGTGAAAAGTTATTTATAAATATCCTTAAACTTACGTGAAAAGATTCATGATTGATACCCTGGGTGTTTCCGATAATACTTCTCCGAGTCATTTCAACGCACTACTTTCTGCACACCAAAGAACAGTATTCGTACTTAAAGTTCCTGCACATTCGGAACTCAGGCTTCAATTTTTCGGCAGCCGCTTGGTTTGCTAAAAGTTGCAAGTAGTTGCATGATTCTGCTTGTAACTTAAATTAAAGAACGGTCAAGATTTACGCAGTCTGCAGCTTGATGTGCGCAACTGGATGTATGTACAGAACGATTAAATTATGCATCGGATGCTTTGGGTTGTATCGGTTGCGAATAAAAGAACGCACCCTCATAGTCAAAGACTCGAATGACGTTTCCGAACACAGCCTTGGTTGGAACGTAGCTTTGCGCGTTTCTAGTTTATAAACGAAAATTGAAGATCAGGTTAGCAAACCTGTAACGAAGAAGGGCGAAAAACAGAGTTTCTAATTTGCTTGGTTTGCTGTGTAATGTGAGGCAAGTGAAATGTTAGTTTGATTAGAATTTCTTTTGTTTTTTTAATAAATAAATATTAACTAATTAATCTAGTGATATAGCCAGGCATATTGCTAATTATTCACTTTTTATTAGTACTTGCAAATAATTTTCGTAAATTTTATAGTATGCTTGTAGTAATGTAACGACCTAACCTCTTCAGTTTGAACACGAAACTGAGTTTTAAATAGAGATTATTTAAATTTTTTCGTGTATATAGTGGAGCAATTATAATTGTTTAACCAATCTTATTTCTCTTAATTTATTTTGATACTTGTAATTTACGATTTATAATATTTTGTAGAATGGGTCGAAGTCGAACACCATCGCCAGGAAGGCGAAGAGACCGGTCACGGGAACGAGAACGCGATAGAGATCGACGAAGAAGACGATCGCGAGAGAGAAGACGAAGGTAGTATGCTAAAGGAAAAAATAATTACTATCCCAATTTTTATTTCTTATTTGCATTAATGATTCCTCATTTATACAATAATTTCTCATCGTACTAATGAAGTTTTGTATCTTTCAAACACTTGTAGATCAGTAGAACGAGACAGAGTGAAGTCAAGGGACAGAGAACGAGAACGTGAACGAGACAGGCATAGGAGATCATACACCAGATCCAGGTCCAGAGAACGAGATAGATCAAAACATAAACCAAAACCAACAAATGAGCGACCAGTAATTACAGGTATTAATGTTTAGACAGTATGTTTCTTAAAACTACAATATGTTAAGTGTATTGTACAATACAGACAATATTTCTATATACAAGGTGTTTCAGTAAAAATACACAACCTTTTAGAGGCTTCTAGAATAGGGAAAATGGGGAAAATAGGGAAGTTTACTAAAAACTATTATCCTATAGTATAAACTATTTTCCTATAGCACACACTTTTTGAGATATTTATCTCCAAATTAGAGTCTAAAAAGTATTTTTAAAAAATAACTTATATTGCTTATCAAATGTTATAAATGTTTAATAATCTTTGTATTATTTTTGTCTTAAGCAAGAGTTGTTAGAATGGTTTAATATATTTTTGATATTATATCAGGAAGCTGAAGGTCTAACAATCTCTGAATTTCTTAATGTCTAAACTTTGAGGTAAGTAGATTTTTTAATTTTTAGACTTTTTTAGATTTTTCATACTTTAAAAAAAAAATTATTTCAAAACAGCAAATAGTTTTGGAGAAAAATACATTTGGATAGTGAAAGGACAATGGATAAAATGGGCTAACTTTGATCTAAAATTGTAATGTAAGTTACACATATAATCTTACATTTTTTGAATCACTAAATATGATGGTAACATTTTTATCTATCTACACCTGTGGGAAAGTGGTCAAAATTTTTCTTAAAGGGGTTGAAATGAGCTACTTTTAATAGTAATTTAGTTAATGGCAATTTTGTTCTAATTATTTATTATAGTTTAGGTTTCATAATTTTTTCTGAAAACTAAGGAAGCATTCCAGTAAATATAGAATAAAATAAATATAGAATAAAATAACATAAAATGTTAAATTTCGTTATAAGAAAACTCTTGTTGTCCTTTATTCAAACAATAAGATAATTTTATGTGAAACAAAATCAAATTAATCAAATTAAATTTAATTGGAATGAATTTGTCCAAAATCATAACAAATGTTCAAAATGAGAATCTTCTATTCTGATAACTTTCTGTGCACGATGAGCTAAAAGACTACTGCATCTAGCATAATATCTTATTTCTTATTTAATAATCTTATATCTTATTTCTTATTTATTCTTATTTCTTATTTCTTATTTATTATGATTTTGAAAAAATAAAATTTACATTTTCAATTAAATTTAACTTACAATGAACATTAAGTATCAAGACACCTACATGTTTAGAGTAATTTTGATTCACATCTGTTTTATTTAATTCACTTTTTATAAGAAAAAACATGATAATATTCATTTTCCTATGTAGGCTTTAGTTTGTTCACACACTAGGCAGTGCTAAAGTTAGGAAAAACGTTCCCTCATAACTTATATCAAGCAACAGTTCAAAGATCTCGTCCAATAGATTCATAATATATGTATATACATGTGTATGTGTGTGTATATATATATCTGCGGTTTTTATATTTCATACTTTTTTATTAATAATAAAAGAAAAAAAGTTTATAGAGAATGCCAAAGTTTGAAAAAAAAAACATTCTATGATAATCTATATCGTTTAACAGTACTTATGATATAGGTTTTACTGAAACATCTTATTAGAATAAGCTTTATATGCAGGGTTTCTTTGATACTACTAAGAGTGCCTCATGATCAGTGTCTTGTGATTTAACATGTAGATTAGGTCAAACTGAACAAAATTCTTGTATTATTTTGCAAATAACCATGTAAAATTTTAAGTTATTATTTAAAGAAGGCTAGCGAATGATGACGCGTGATACGGCTGTGATTACGAAGGTCGTCGTCGTTTACTTGTAGATTAAGTCAAATTGAACAAAAAAATACTATTTTGCAAATAACCACTTATATTTTTAGTTATTAATTAAAGAGTAATGATGCATTATCGCATGCGATCATTCGCCTATCTTCTTTAATTAATAACTAAAAAAATCTATATGGTTATTTGCAAAGTGGTAGAGGATTTTTAACCTAAAGTACAAGCATATAAAAGCAGGCGACGCTATCACAATCTATCTGCATACGTATCATTTGTGATCCACATCCATCCGCTTTTAATTAATAACTAAAAATTTTATGCGGTTCGCAAAATATTAGAAGAATTTTGTATTCAGTTTGATCTAATCTATGTATACAAGATGTGGGGAGACACTTATTGTTAGATACTATATATAATTATTAATAATCACAATATTTTAAAATACAATATTTAAAATATATTGTATAATATCATTATTTAATAGCATTAAACTATTATTTTTATTAAGCGATATTATTAGTTAATTAATATAATACTAATGATAATTGAAATAAAATATCATAATCATCTTCTATATTACAGAAGCAGATCTTCAAGGTAAAACACCAGAAGAGCAAGAGATGATGAGAATAATGGGATTTTGTGATTTTGATACTACTAAAGGAAAGAAAGTGGAAGGCAACGATGTAGGCGCAGTTCATGTCATCTTGAAAAGGAAATATAGGCAATATATGAATAGAAAGGGTGGATTCAATAGGCCTTTGGATTTTGTCGCATAATTCATAGTGCATCTTTAAAATTACAGTTGTTTTATTTTGTAAGATAACATGGATAATTTATATTTAGAAGATATAATAAAACAATTACTAATATTATTAATATGTAATGATCGAAGTGTGATTGACAAACACGTCATTGTAAGAATAGTATGTTTATATATAATAAAATGCAAATTTTTATATATAATATGCAAAATTACCAATGAGATTTTAGTATGTATTTTATTAAGCCTGTATAAAAAATTTATTTAAAAAAATAGAAAAGAACAATGGACTTATATATTGTGTTAAAACTCGTTATACTTCGTCGCGGTCATGTTAGATTTGTGACATCAGAAGCGAGGAATGACACTGATAAAAGTCGTGTGACATTTCTAAATAAAGACAAATACGGACGAAAGAGTAACTTAAAATCGTTTGAGCACACACTTGTAAAATTTTCTGAAAACTGTTCCTTTCCTCTGACGACCAGTAAATAGTCAGTATAACAAATGTGTAATAAACAGTGATAATAAATAGTATATAATAAATAGTGAAATAAAGCATGCAGACAAAACAGATTTATTTTATGTCACATATCTTATTTCATTATTTATTATATATCTATTTATTGATTATCAAAGGAAAGGGATATCTTTGGGACAATTTTACAAATATGCTCAAATAATCTCAAATATCTCTTTCGTCATTATTTATCTTTATTCAGAAATGATACGCAACTTTTGTCAGTATATTTTATCCCTCGTTTCTGACGTCACAAATCCGACATGGCCGGCGAAGTACAAAGGACTTTAAGGTAATTTGAGGTAGTAAAAATACATAATTTATAAGAGCTGTAGTTATACAATTTTAAGGGTCTGATCTTTTACGTCGTTTTAATGGTGTCGGTCTTGTGGATGATGTGGATGATGCTATAGACACATCCAGATCTGCTTTGGATGTATTTGCATTATCGCGGTGACTATTCTGCGTTTCAAGCTGTTGTAAATATGAAATATACAAGTTAAAGGAGTAATTAAACAGAAAAAAATAATCATCTGTATTCTTACCAGGCTTATATCCATTTTCTCCAATGCTTCTGATAATTGCGTGTTTTTTATACGGAAATCTCGTGTTATGCTGTGTTTTATATAAGTTTCGAGTGGCACCTAAATAAATTTATTATATCTTATTCTCCTATTTTAATATATATATATATATATGTGTGTGTGTATATGTGTGTGTGTCTACCATATATATATATATATGTGTGTATGTGTGTGTGTCTACCATATCGCATAACCTTTTATCAATCTTCTTTAATTAATTTCGAGATTTACTGCGAATATCGCAAAAAACGCGGTATGGGTCTTTTATGTTCACCTCAATCAGTCCTACGTTCCCACAAAAATTGCGAAGGAGAATCTGGGATACCCTGTATACACACGCACACACGCGTACACACACATACATAAAGTGTCTCAGAACAACCTCTGAAGCTCTTGTGAAGACATGGTACGAATTAAGATAAAACAAAAGTTTTGTAGTCTATAAGAGTATATATTTCATTGCTATATATACTAGTATATATATTTTTTAGTAGAATACTCACGCCAGTCTTCTTCTCGAGTAATAGAATCTCCTTATGGAATTGTTCAATCTCGTATACCACTTTTGGTATGATTTTGGTCTCTTTTAAAACTTTATTCCTTTGTACATGTGAATCAGCTTTCGGCTTTCCTTTTTGATTTTCCTGCACATATGTAATATAGATACAGATATATATACGTATCTTACATTATTTGTGTGAAAAATTGAAAACAGTATATCTCACATAGATACCTCAGTATGTGTTATTAAATTGTAAAATGCGGATTTCAATGGTTTCCCGGCCGACTGAATTACTTGAATAAATCTGAAATTGCATAGAGAAAATAGTTATATTGTAAAAAGTACAATGAAAAACAAATTTGTGTACATTGTTTAATATAAATTGTTTAATATAAATATTTTAATGTTCGGAAATTAATTTACGAAGGACGCGGCATCAACTCAGGAGCCAAATTGAATAACTCTCTATACCGTGCAAATTTTAAATATAGGAGAATAAATATTTTAATATTAATATTTTAATACAATATCACACATATAAAGATTTTCTCTTACTTGACTGATTGAAATGCTGCGTTCTGTTTACTGGACTTCGTGTAGAAATATTTGGTAAGATTGCTAAGCATATTGTATAGGTGTTGTAAATTCTTGAACATAAAGTCTGTCGATGGTCCTGGTTTAATAGCAACATCGGCTAAGGTATATAGTATCTGTATAATATGCGTCAACTGTCTGCACAGACTACGTTCCTGCGTTCTCAGCTTTTCTTGATCTGTTTCGTAAATGTATATACGTTATAAAGTTTTAGATTGAACATTTTACTATCGAAATGTATAGATACCAAATTAACTGATATAAATACGAAAGTATACACACGTGCTTCTAAATCCGCACCAGGTGGACAAGCTATGCTCTGTTCGGCTTTAAGTCGCACCAATAGCCATGACACGTTCTCTAATTTTTCTTTCACTGAGTTATTCGCCAAATTATAAAGCTGCAACGCTGTGTCTTCATGCACAATCTTGAATTTATTATTCTCCGGTATCTCAGTCTGTAATACACTAATAAATTTTTAACGAAGCCTTGTGTATGCAATTTCACAGAAAATTAATATACATAAAATCAATTTTCTGAATTTAAAAATCCTATTTTTATATAAAAATTGATTTTCTTTGTTTTTTAAAAATAAAAGTCATATAATCTATAACATATTAATTAAATTATATATTAATATATAATATTGATTAAATATTTAATCAAACAATTTTTTTTAACATTATAAAATAGGTATTGTAACATGATGTATATTGAATTATACATGAATTATATTGTGTACTGATTATATACATACCTTATCGACGCTGCCCACTTTCTCGCATAGCGAAAGAGTGATATCGATTAATAATTCGCCGTACTCTTCATTACGCTCTTCTATCCATAATAAGATTTGAAAAATAATTAAGGAGGATTGAGAATCCATACCCTCCAGTTGTGTGAACTCCATTATCGACTCGAATATCTTATGCAACAGATTTTAATATGCTTTAATGTTCTATTCATTTATTCGATAAAGTTTGATTATTGATTATGAAGAATACCGACTTTGTCGTCGTGTGTCTCATAAAAATTAATTTCTTGCGTCAACTGACGAATAATATCTAGCAGCGTGCAGAATATCTTCTTGGAATTTTCCTCGTGCTCCTCCTTCTCGCCGAAGAACGTTCTGAAGCTTGTTCTTAAAGCGGAAATCATGACCACTAATTGTGCGTTAAGATTATCCGATTGATTTTGGTCGTCAGCTAAAATATAATATTACATACATATTATATATATATTTTTCAGCACATATTAGAAAATATTTTATACACTCATAATTTCAAACACTCACGAACAATATCATTAAGAAAACGCGGTAATTCGGTAGAGAAAGTGGTGCAGATCAGGCAACATAACTCTTTGAAACATTCCAGCGCTAGAATACTTCCTTGTTCATCCATATCGAGTACTTTCTTGAAATCCAATATAATGTGATCGTATAGTAATCTAAATTATAGAAAGAAAGAATTTAAAGTTCACAGAGAGAAGAGAGAAACGTTGTATTCTCTTACAAGTCTCCCTTACTTTCCAATTTTGCAGTAAATTCTCATGTTTTGATCTTTGTGCTTCCGTAAATTGTATTCCGTTAAGGTTTTGACGTTTTGCAAGATTTGCAGCAGCGTTCGCAGTATGTAGTGATAAAAATCATAATAATCTATTAACGCGACTACTTGATCCGCATTTGCCCAAGGAACGGATTTCCTAATAATAATGAATCAGTTATAATATTTTAATTCCTCTTATGTGACTATAAAAATAAAAAAAAAGAAACGAAATAAGTAATATAAGTGCTCTACAATTGATTTTAGGATATAACAATTTTAGTAAGTGTTAATTGTTATATTACGCCAATAAAATTGATTGTAGCACTTACAAACCAAGTATTCCACTTTTTTGTACTTTTTATATGATAATAGATCTATTCGTTTTCAGAGAATTTCTGAACTAATGCACATTAATGCAATAAGTTAGAGTGGAAAAAAGTATATTTGTTTCATTTTAATTTATTATACAAGTGCAGAAGTACTTTGAAAACGAACAAATCTAATAATATATATTGTTATAGTTCAATTTTACAGTTGATTTTGTTTACATTATTCATTTACACATTATTATGATATTGTATTATTATAATAGGTTATAATAGAGTGTACACACACACACACATATATACTACTTACGAAAAGATACTTACAAGTAAAAAAGTGACAAACTTTTGCACACTATAGACAAATCTAAAATACTAGTCGGTAGCTTTATGTTACTCGATCGGCCAGCTTTCTTTATGGTCGTATTATTCGGATCGTTTTGTTTCTTATTTTTGCCTTGACCTTTCTTGGCTTTTGGTACACGCTACGATCAAATAAGCTTTGTATTAATTATCTTCGTAATATTAAGATATAATATGAAGATATTAGACAATGAATTATACAAATATTAGATTAGAGCAAAAGATATAATTTCCTATTAAATTCTTGTAGAAAGACTAGATATTATAAGGGGACAACAGAAATTCTTTTAATATTAAAAAAATACCGATTCGATGTTCATTATAATATAAAGTTATTAATATTTCGGTATTGGATAATTTCGTTTTTTATTTTATTTAATCAACATGATATCCTTTTAGTAGAAAATCTTTTATATCAATCTAACATACCTATTATAAGATCTTTGTAATACATCAAATAAAAGAGAGAGAAAGAAGATCTATAAAATATAATATAAATATAATATAATTTACATATGATATAATAAGATATATTATTAAATAGAATATATAGAAATATATAGAAATAAAAAGATGTATTTATAAAGTGACGCAGTCAAACAGATTTGTAAAATAGTTTGAACGCTTTACTTTTGCTTTAGCAAATAATAAATTATCGTAAAATTTAACGTAACACTCGACTTATCTTTTTAAGCTATTTTTTCTTCTTCAGGATTTGGTCACATTAATTTTACAATTATATTTGTTGATTGTTAAAACAAAAGAAAAGTGCTCGGCCTATTTTACACGTCTGTTTGATTGATTGATTACAAGTGTAATTTATGTATTAATAATAATAATATATTAATAGAATATAATATATATTATTAAAGAAGACCTACATATACATATATATATAAGAAAGTGTTGCAGGATATTAGTTTGACAATTTAAGTAAACACACTGTGTGAATGAGCAAATCTACAATTAACTAAAATCCTGCGACTTGACTCTTACAAACCTTTTATACTTATAAACTCTTATAACTCTTATAAATCTTTTTCCTCTTACACCTGTTTTATAATAAATTATACGTTACCTTCATAAATTCGACCAAGTTCATGTATCCTTTGAACAGATTCTTGACACTTTGCGCGGTCTCTGTGCAATTCACAGACCACGCGCCGATTCTGAAGGATATAAGAGCCTCATAAATCTTGATCGTCGTTAGAACGTTCTGCAATTTTTCCTGCGACTTAACACTGGAATTGTTTAAGTCGAGATTGTCATCCTATCGAAACAAAAATTCTATTGAAGACATTGTCTCAATTTTTTTCTAAGTTTTACAGAATCACTTTTAAAAATTCTAACACATTCTCTTTCAATTAATATCATTTTCTTTCAACTTGCCAGATTTAAATGTTCCGTATCGACTCGTGGCATTCGTCTGCAGAGAGACTCTAAGATAACAGCCAGCTCGTCTACAAGAGACGATTTCAGCAGGGCTGCTTTGATGTAGATCTTTTGTAACACAAATATCAGTTCCGCCAGAGGTTCCTGCGAAATAGCTTGTTCCCCATGCATAGTTGTGCACAGTTCTAGCTTAATGGGCAGTACAACGTTTTCGTCGTCTTCGAAGTATAATCTAAAGTGCGGCAATAACATCTCCAATATGTATTCCGCGGCGTCGACGTTTTTTGACACAACGTCGTACAAACCTGAATGATTGTGTAGTTGATGGTCAGTGATTTTTATTTGGAGCAACGAAATGTATAATATTGTAAATTTTCTCTTATTGTATAATATTGTACTTATATTCACGTACTATTATACAAGTGTAATCGGACTTCATATTCGTGAGTGAAACATTTTCGCAAAATGCCCAACAGGTCGTAAGCTAAACTTCTATTATATCCCGTCTTAGATCTCACTGCTTGTGATCCTCTTTCTAATGTCACCTTAAACAGGGAAAATAATACGTTAATTATATAATATTATTATTAAAATTAACTATATAAATATAATCTAATATTAAAAATAAATATTAATATAAAATATAATTATCACATATTACTCATATATATAATATTAATTAATATATTCATTAATTTAACTTTTAAATATTAAAAACAAAATAAAAATATTATATAATAAAATATTATAATTATAGAATATACACACACTCTCTTTTTCTCTCTCTCTCACAATTAATTTTTAAAATGTCTCATTTTAATTTTAATATCTTGAAAACAATATATTTTTTTAAAAAAAGTATTTAAATGTTTAATAAAAATTACAGAATATCAAGGGAAAAAAATAATAATATTTTTTGAGGTGGCCTTAAAAAATCTTGTTAAGATTAACTCTAATTTTTTAAATGAAATCATATGGTTTTTTTAAATATGAGTGAATTTCTTTAGTCATTTTGCCACAAAAATACTGAGATAAAATAATCGGAAATACGTTTCGAAATATTCTATATACATTTTGTCTCGACACTTTTCAATATAAAATATGAAATATTTCCTAAAGTATATGTTTTTCAATAACCTCACGTTAATATATTTGTACGTAAAATGATGGGCAAAATCGATTGTTGCAAAAAAAAATAAATTTTTAAATAAAATTCCATGCATTTTGCAAATTTATCGACGTATTGTACATTCTATGTACAAAAGTATTATATAAAAGTATTAGTATTCTAGAATCTAAAACTATGTAAATAAATAAGTAAATAAAAAAAAATATATATACAGATGTCTCCTAGACTCTTCTCATGCATTTGTGGTAACGCAGAACGGGTTAAGGTGAACATAAAAGTCCTGTACCGTTTTGTGATATTCGCAGTGATAACCGAGAAATTAATTGTGAAGATTAAGGAAAAGCACGCGCTGCATGATAGAGGAAGGATAGTGGAAGAACAACGCACTACTGCCTGTGCTTATATCGTTGCGCTCCTACGTTTTGCCTCCGCGTGGTACGGCAAAGAATAAATAATAAATAAACAAAAATAAAATAATAAATTATAGTATAAATAATACATAAAAATAGAATATAAATTATAGAATATAACTATAGAATATGAGAAAAAGAGAGATATTGATTATATAGTATTATATAGTGTTAGTATAATTATATATTAGTATAATTATATTATACAGTATTAGTAGTAGTAGTACTAGTAAAAGATATGTGAAGGACTAACGTGCAATCGATACCTGGGTCAAGATAGAACTCCCGCTGATCGACGTTGAAGTAACACACTGGCTCGAGCTCAACGCGGGGCCGCTCAACGAATGATTCTTCAAGTTCTTCAACATTTCCAACAGGCCGCTAATCGCCATTTGCCGATTAAACGTACCCTTTCTATAGAGAGTCATCCTTAATGTTAAGACTGCTTGTTCTCTGATATCGGCTGAAGCGTTTATCAATGGAAATATCGCAGAAATAATGAAGATGGAAACCTCTCCGGGCACAGACGAGATTTGATTGAGGAAGTTTATTACGGAATCCTTCTGTTCCAATACGAGAATCGGCAATTTGCGGCACATGTACGTTAAACAATCTGCAAATGAATATTACTTATACTGTTAATTATATATTAATACTAATCAAAGATGAATAGCATGTTAATTTTTTAAGTTCCGGATTTTCATTTCGAAAATTTAGTGTTATTTTAACAGAGGATTATTATTTTAACAGAGGATTTTAACAGATTGGTTTAAATAGTATTTCAAAAGTTTAATTTTAAAAATGATTTCAACAGAAGAAATTCAATATTTTTATTATCAGAAATTAGAAAAAAAAATGAAATAAAAACGATTTTTTAAAGATAAATGAACTGTATATATTATCATACATTTAATAGAACAAAAGTTCCATCAAATAATATAGATAAATTAATCAAAATATTTTTATTTTGACGATCCACGTATCTTTAATGATATATTTAACAAAAATATATTGTACCTTTAAGGATACGCGCCGAGTCAAAAGGTTTATCAATGATACTAATACGATATTAATATACGATGTCACAATAATATTGTAAGATCTTACCAGTGTATTGAGAAATATATAATCCACCTGCGATAATTTTATCGATCAGCGTTTGGAGCACAGTTGCGACAGTTTCATGATGTTTCCTCATAATCCTCTGGAGTACTTTTACACCAATTTGACACAAAGGATGCGCGTTTGTTTTCGATTTCTGTTCTGTAGCCATAAGAACGAATGCGAGATCTACGAGCCCTTTCAGTACTAAATGCCGATCCTTCTCACTATTGAAGAATTTAATATTAAATTTTTTATATAATATGATACACCTTAATACAAATTTACCTGGCATCTATGATGTTTACCATCACAGTCATTATACTGCAGGAATCGGGGATCAATTTTCTCAACCACACGCTGTTCTTCCGTCTATTGTCGTTCTCATTCCGTTTGCTCATAATTGCATGCAGTATTTCGAAAACCTGCAATATATTTATTAGCATTCGAAGATTATAAGAAACGTCAATATAATAAAAATCAATATAATTAAAACTTAAATAAAGCAATATTAATTAATCTCAATCATTAAGATCGCAAAAATAGCAGTAACAATAGCAAAAAAGACAGAAATGTTTTTAGCAAAACTGTTTTCTAAAAAACCATTTATTGACCGTTTCTTACAAAATATATTTTTAACAATGTGGAAAATATAAATATCACTGACAAAGTTAGGAAAATTATTTACCATGATTAAACTACCTATAGTAACATTATTAGCAAAAATGATATTCTCAAATGCTTTCAACGAAGTTAAGAAATAGTTAGGGAAGTTGTTATCAGCAAATATATGCTATACACAAATTTGACAATTTTAATAGTATGATTGGTCAAGTCATAACCTTAGTTATTAACAATATTGCTAACATTATCCAGTTCAATTTCTTGCAAACAACATGTGCTTTCAGTATAATGTTTTGGACAATGTTGGTGAGAGATAAAGCAATAAAAAATGCTACCAAAATAAGTAACTTTTATTAACATTTGTTTCTCTCAAAATGTTGGAAACAAATGTTTGGAAACTTTTGTTATTTTAAATTGTAATTGTTTGGAAATATGTTCCATGTTAAAATTTTTCACTCCAAAATAACAAATAGTATAATTGACTTATTTTATAACGTAAATAATTTGTTAGAAAGATTTGTTTTCAGCAATTTTAAATGAAACAATCTACATTTGCCAGTAAAGCCTAATCTACATTGTGTTCTTTGCTTCCTGTTTCTTATTCTATCTTTTTTTAGTTTAAAGTCCAATCCATAATATATTTTTTGTTTCCTGTTTCTTGTTTACTATCTTTTTCTGGCTAAAATTTAAAAGTTTCAGTTAGAGATAAAAAGAAAAAAACAGGACGCAAAAAGCATATTATAGATCTGGGCTAAGGCTTAAGGTGTAAGTCAGAAAGGGATAAAGAAAAAGAAACAAGAAGCAAATAACATATTGTAGATCAAGCTTAACACTGCTAGAAACACATATTATTAGCAATGTTACTGCTGGTATAAACCAGCCTTAAAGTAGTTACCTGATCTTCACAGACAGAAGCAACTGTGAGCAACACCGAAAACATAAAGGGCTCCAATATAGCTTCAGGAGCATTCAATACATTTTTAGAGTAGCGAATGTAGTCCCTTATATGCTGATGATTTAATTGTGCTGCTTGATATATGTGATATAACACTGTACTTTCAATATCTTGAATTTCCTTAACACTTATAGTATCTGTGATAAAAAAGAAAATCAAAAGCGATCCAAACAAATGCATTACATCTCTTCAATCTAAATCTCAGAGATATATTCTCCTTACCAATAGTCTCGAAGGTATCTGTATCATCGGAATTAGCCTGAGAAAAGCGTAGTGTAAAGTACCTACGCAGTGCCTCTAAGAGATACTTACTATCCTGATTATTACAGAGTCTTAATGCCTGATGCACAAAAGGAGGCAACTCTTCAAGAGGTATGTTTTGTAATCTTGTGCATAGCACATTGATCACCAAGGCATGATCTTCTTTTTCTAAAGACATATCTCTAAACGCAAGACAGTCAGCTTGTTAACTATGTGCATTTACTTCTATTTTTTCTTTTCATTAAAGATAAGAATATTTACCTGAACATCATTGCCAACGAAGGCATGATTTCTGTATTCCATTCACTGTTACATATGTTGTTGATAATGAGAGATTTGTACTTAGATCCAGAAACTTCTCCATTCATATAATTAATATATTTCTCTTCCTCCAGCACTTCCAGAAGAACAGGCAGTAGATCTTTCCAACTGAAATATTTAAGAAAGTTAATTTTCTATTTAGCTCTGATAAATTTACAAATGAGATTAATTTTTTTTAATACCTTCTGAAATCATCATCATTATTGCGGATGCTAACCAGACAAAATTCCACCAATTTAAGTAGATGTAGTTTTGGATAATTAGGGAAATCAATTACTATTCTATTGACAATGTCATTCACATGACTAATTGAGAGTTTAGCTTTAGCCAAAGCTTTCAAGGTGGACTCTACTAATTTAAGTCTCTTTGAATACAAATTTTCAGATTCTGAACATACTTGTAAGATCTCATCCAGTAGCTTGGAAATGTCTGGATCACAAATCCTGTTAGATATTATTTTTACAAACTAAAAACAATTGTTTACTTAATATTGTTTTGTTTGAAAAAAACTTGTTTTTAATTTTATAAATATAAATAATTATAAATATAAATATAAATATAAATATAAATATAAATAATTTTATAAATATAAATATATATATTTATATATATATATATATACATATATATATATAAATATATATATATATTTTATATATGTATATATATAAAATAAAACTACACAGAAATAAAAATAAGTTTGTGCTTTTAAAATTCGTTTACCTCATCGGTTGATGTCTCTTGCACGAATTTGTGCAATTGCTCTTGGTTTTTTTGACTGAGTAAACCGTCGAGTTTTGCACTCATTTTCCTTTTCTTTAATACAATAAATTAAGTATGCAATATTTCATTCGCCGGAGAGAAACATTCGTTCTTTCTAACGTTTAACCATAACAACAACTTTTCGCGCCGTTATGAGTCATTTTTCACTTTACAAGAAAGAGAGGAGAGGCTTATGGAGGATTCACACCCCGTCCGATGTCCGACGTACGATATCCAATAGCAGAACAGCTTTCCAATGGAGAATTGAATTTTTTAATAAAAAGCTGTTCTCTTATTGGATATCGGACATCGTACATCGGATATTGGACGCGGTGTGAATCCTGCATTAAGGTTAATATTGGGCGCATTCAGTAGAAAAAGCGCTCAGTGAGCAATCAACGATTATTGGTTCTTGCTATTAGATCCCTAAATCTAGACCAATTACATTGACAAATTACTCAACTGTTGTGCAACTGTTGAGTCTGCTGAATGCAGCCATTACATGCGTCGTACGATAATGGCTCCTGCACACAGGACGCGGTAATGTTTGCCGTGCGGCGGAAGTTCGCGTGACAGCCAATCAATATGCTGCTTTCCATAATAACCTTCTAGCTCTTACGGAAAAACAACATATTGATTGGCTGTCACGTGGACTTTCGCCGCGCGGCAAGCATTACCGCGTCCTGTGTGCAAGAGCCATAGGACGTAAGCAGTGAGCGAATCAGCCAATCACAGTCATTGATTCTTGAACCGTAAGAAGAATCAACGACTATGATTGGTCAATTTGTTTACTGCTACGTCTTACTGCTTAAGTTTTTCTGTATGCGGCCCTTAAGCCCATTCTACAATTGCGTAAGCGTAGTCGTGAACGTAAGAGTCAACCAATCCGAATGTTTTATTCACTGATTGCTTTACTCTGATAGGTTGTCGTAATCACTTACAACCACTTACAACCACGTTCACGCAATTCTAGAATGGGCTTTATGGAATAGAAATTCCGGGTCATAATAAACCCAGCAGCACACGATGCTTGTTTTCATGCTGGATTACTTGTTGGATGGAAATACTCTGTTCTGATTGGTGCATTTCTGAAGATGGATCAATCAGAATAGAGTATTTCCACCTAGCAAGCAATCCAGCACGAAAACAAGCATCGTGTGCCGCTGGCTTTAAAAGAAGAAAAAGAAGAAGCGTGAGAATGTCAACTGGCAGTCCATACTTAAGCCAGCGGCGATGCTTGTTTTTATGCTGGATTGCTTGCTGATTGGTGCATTTCTGAAGATGGATCAATCAGAATAGAGTATTTCCACCTAGCAAGCAATCCAGCACGAAAACAAGCATCGTGTGCCGCTGGCTTTAAAAGAAGAAAAAGAAGAAGCGTGAGAATGTCAACTGGCAGTCCATACTTAAGCCAGCGGCGATGCTTGTTTTTATGCTGGATTGCTTGCTGATTGGTGCATTTCTGAAGATGGATCAATCAGAATAGAGTATTTCCACCTAGCAAGCAATCCAGCACGAAAACAAGCATCGTGTGCCGCTGGCTTTAAAAGAAGAAAAAGAAGAAGCGTGAGAATGTCAACTGGCAGTCCATACTTAAGCCAGCGGCGATGCTTGTTTTTATGCTGGATTGCTTGCTGATTGGTGCATTTCTGAAGATGGATGGAAATACACCAATTAAAACAGAGTATTTCCATCCAGCAAGCAATCTAGCACAAAAACAAGCATCGTGTGCCCCTGGCTTTATATTAGGTTTGTTCTTTTCAACCGAACTAGTGCTGCACTAGAACTGCACTGGTTCGGAACTAGAACTAGCAAGTACAGCAAAAGTTCATAGGTTCAGACACACCAGATAGAATGGAAAAGAACGCCATAGAAACAATATGACGTAACACATAATTTTAGATGCAAATAATTCTTCAGATGAAGAATTTACTGTACTTGCATTAATGTATGTGTCTCAATTGCTCGCAGAACCTATCTGGGATATTGCCTTCATTCCTTTTAATTTTTGCAATATTTATCTCTTCCATCTTTATAGATCTGTTCTTTTCACCTGAACTACTTGCACTGGTACAGTAACTTTTACCCTTGCACTGCACTGCACTGCTTGCACTAACTCCAGACTCAGTGCAACTAGTTCAGTGAACTCTTGCATTAAGTTCTGCTGCACTAAGTTCTGCTGCACGTTGGAAAGAACAGTAACCTCTGACGTTACTTCTGCTAGAAAACGCACCAGTGTACACTTCTTGAATTAGTGCAAGAAGTTCAGCTGGGAAGAACAAATCTGTAGTCAAAGGTTTGACCATGTTCAGACCTGATTTTTTTGGAATTTGTACCTCGATATCTTGGGCGAATAGACAATAGATATAAATCTGAGTCCAAGTAAAATAAGAAGAAGAAGAATATAATCTTATGTGATTGCGTGAATAATTGACCTAAATCTTTGCAAAAGTGCAACGTGATTTATTTTTAGGTTATGTATATTACTGTATGCAGCGAAAGAACATTTACCTAACTTCAATTAATATGCAAACCTAGATTGACTAGGTTAAGTTTATATTGTTACTGCAGAAAATATTAAATTAATGCGATTGCAAAGATGAGTGACTTAGAAATCGCGTACAATAGTGATCAGGAAGTTTCGGAGAATCACTCGAAACTCGTCGAAGCTGTAACACAGCTTGATAAAAAGCAAAGGTGAAAAGAATTTTGCATTAATAAGCTTGCCACTAATTTTACAGATCTGAATGTTTTTATTTTTCTTTACTTCTTTTTGTAGAGTAAATAAAGCGGAAAGGAGTGAGCCCACTTTAGAGGTCTCAGAGTTCCATCTTGTAAAAAGGGCAACCAACAAGGATGCCGTACAGGTTCGAGATCTGGTTAAATCATTGGGACAGAAAGGATATCAAAGCCAAATTACAAAAAAGCTTCGATCTATTCAAAAATGCAAAACTATTTCCAAGCCATTGGAAAAACCAACTGCTGAAAAGGTAAATTGTCAAGCTATTTGACGTAATGTATATATATATGCAACTTGATATTTGCGACTTTCTAATGTGAACATGTATCCTCTATTATCTATAAAAATTCACATTTTACTAAATAATGTTTTTTTTAAATAAATATCAAGGACAATAAGAGCCAAATCGTTGGTGTTAAACACTTATGATTTATGTATAATCAAATAAGAAAATTAAAATAAATTTTTATTCGTTATAAATAAAAGTCTTATTTCTGAAATTATTCATGAATATATATTATATATATGTGCATAAAAAAAATCGAACTAACAGCTTGAATTCTCAATTGGATATTGAAGAGTTAAGTAATGTTTATTTTCCTCTATTGAATTTAATCCATGATAGACGGCTCTAAGATCGGCCTATCTGTTTACAATATCTGTTTTGATTGCGGGTTGTTCTTATTCCTTTATAACACGAAATATTGGCTTTTGTAAACTCACTATCTGTGTTTCTATTCTTTGACTGTTGGATTGTTGGAGCTCTCCATTGTTCATATCTTTGGTAAGAATGTTTTTAATTTTTGCAAAATTTTTAACTATGCGACTTTTTTCTATACTTGCGGTTTTTCTAGTCTTGCGATTTGTGAGTTTGTTTGAGTAGCTTACAAACACTGATGTGACGGATTTGACAACTCCAAAAACCAAAACAAACATTATTTCACATTGCAAAAGCTCCAAATATCTAATTTAATAAGAGAATTTATATAAGACAAAACAAAGTTGTATCAATTTAAATCACTTCTAGGTAAAAATGAGATTTGGTTTTGAACGTACTCTGAAGGATCTATCAAGATGGAATGCTATAGTCGCTAAAAATAGAACGGCAACACATTTAACTTTTCCACTGAGAACTCCTAAGCAAAAATTGAAAATTGACTCCCCAGCAGATTTCATAAATCATCTTAGATTTAAGTCTGATTTACAACGAAAGTTGGAAGAATTAGATCCAAAACTAAAAGAACCTCTACCTCAGGAGAAGGAGAAAAGAGATAATGAAGAAGAAAAATCCCAAATGACATTGAAGGACATGAAGAAGAAAAGAAGCGAAACTGCCAAATATAGGGCACAGCAGGTAAAACAAAAATATTCATAATGCAATTATCTAGAAATTATCAACAACAGAGAAAGTAGTCCAAACTAAACTAATAACCTAAACTAATAACCATAACTAATAAACTAAACTAGAGGTTGTTTCTTATTGTTCTTTTACTTCTTTTACTTTTAGTCGTATCAAGAGGCGAAGGCGCATCGTCAACGTAAGATCAAAAGCAAAAAGTTCCATCGTATAGAGCGGAAGAAGAGAGACAAGGAACAGTTGGTGGAGTTTGAGAAATTGCAGAAAACTGATCCGGAAAAAGCCTTGACAATGTTGGAACAATTGGACAAGAGTCGTGCGGAAGAACGAATGTCGCTGAGACATAAGAGCACTGGTCAATGGGCCAAGAATAAACAGATCAGAGCTAAATATGACAAGGAAGTGAGTATCTTTTCTTCATCTAAAACTCGATAAGAAAGATTAATTTTTAATGAGAATCATTAATTATTGAAGAACAATATATTAACGTATTTTATTATTAGACTCGACAGGAGCTTGCCAAGCAGTTGTCTATTGGTAGAGACTTGACACAAAAAGTCAGGTTAGCTTCCGATAATGACGAAGATAAAACGTCCTTTACGTTTGCAAATATAGTTGAGGAACCACCTAACAATAGCGAAATGGTGTCTGAAGTCAATGATTTGATTGAAAGTTATCGGAAGTATCGTGATAAGAAGAAATCCGAAGGAGAAACTGCCGCGAAGGTTGACAGCAAATCCAAGTCGCCTGCCAACAAATTAGATGAAGATAAGAAATCGTATACAAAGACAGAGTCTGAAGTTAGTGAATTTGCTAAAGATTGTTTGAAGCGCCGCGATAGAAAGGACGAGGAATCCAAAGAAGAGAGTGTCGCGAAGGTTGATAGCACATCCAAATCATCTGTCAACAAATTAAACAATATATCAAATGATATGTTAGAAAAACAGATTTCTGAGCCAAATAAAGCAAGTACGTACTTATTCGTTTTCAATAAAATTTATAAGATAACTACGCTTTTACATTATATAATAATATATTGATTATCTTTAATATATTCCTTTTTTTAATTCTAGATACAATTGCTTTTGCTGTCACTTCTTCAAATCAAAAGACTAAAGAATCTACCAAAGTCAAAAAAGCAAGTAAAAAAGTGAGTACGAGCTGTACTGTAATTTCGGATGAGATAGTTTCGAAAAAGGAAAAAGCGAAATTATGTAACAAGAAGAACAAAATTAAGGTGAAAAATGAGCATAATGTAGAACTTACCTCCACGTGGCATGTCGAAGAATTGCAGTGCAATAAGAAAATGGACTCTAAAACGCCTAAAGTAGCAGACATAGACGATATGTTTGATTCCGTGGAAGAAAACATAAAATATAAAGTCAACTTGAAGATGCACAGAATAAAAAGGAAACTTGAGACAGAGAACAAAGTAAATAAGCGCAAGAAGAAGGCGAATAAAGAGAACGAGAACTATATGCCAAATCTGGAATTTAAAGATTATAAACAGAAACCCATATTGGATCTTCCATTAGAGGAAACCGCTTGTAAGGAAAATTCACAGAACACAGATTTGACGACCTTAAAGACAATAATGAACACTGAGCAAGAACCCACAACTAAATCAAATAGTTACGTGGGGGAAATCAATCTGCAGAATCCTCATTCGATGAACACAAAGTCGAAGCATCTAAAGACGGAAATACCGGATTTAGATGTAGATGAGGAGGACGTGCTGGATAACGATGAACAGGAAGAAAACTTTGATAGATTCATAGACGAAGTAATGGAAAATAGCGATGCCGAGAAGGAATTCAGAAAGGAGAAAGAAGAGGAGGTATGTAAAATATTTTAAACGATTGTTTGTATACGACAACCTTGCGATGCTATTTACAATTGCATTAATGAAGAAATTAAGAATTTTGCTATTATTTAATATTCAAGATTTTCATTTTACACTTTTGATTATATTTATTAGCATGATACCAAGTGCGATGATGTGCGTGGTTTTTACTTCTGCTTTAATTTATATTTTAATAAAATATTTTAATCCTCGCAACTTTTACACATTCTGTACTAGCTTTCATTGACTTTCTTTAATACTTAATTCTATCTCACACATACAAAGAGCTCTTTAAAATATCGTTATTTTAATTGAATATCAGCAAATTATATATATGACAAGAATTAATCTAAAATTTAATACCCAAAATACTTTTAGATTAAGAATTCGCAACCAGAAACTATTAACACGAGCTTACCTGGATGGGGAAGCTGGGCGGGAACAAACATCAAGAAAAGCAAAATGAGACGTAAGAACAGACGATTTATACTAAAGTTTCCCAAGAACGTGCCGCGTAAAGACGAAAATAAAGGCGATGTGATAATCTTCGAGGGTGAGAATCAGAAGTTAAAAGAGCACCTTGTCAGTGAACTGCCATATCCATTTACTACCGTTAAGGATTTTGAAGCGAGCATCAGAGCTCCTCTGGGTAGAACCTTTGTGCCAGAGAATGCTCACAGACGATTGATTCAACCATCGCTGGTTACTAAATCCGGTCAATTGATTGAACCCATGACTGAAGAAATGTTATTAGAGAAGCAACCGATGGTGAAACGACGTATCGATAAACAGAAAAAGAACAGCATGAAGAACAATAAAATAAAACACGAGTAGGATGTAATAGTGTAAAATAATATCCCTTGTACTGAGAATTAATTAAGTTGCATTGACAACCTTTGTTATGATTTGTAAAACTAGTTCTATAAAATAATCAACATCATTAATCTTTCACAATTATTTTATGTGTTATATATATATATATATATATATATATATATATATATATATATATATATATATATATATATATATTATGTATTAAATGTGCAATATATTTATTGCACATATATATAACGATTGATCTCTTATAAGAATTGACCTGTCAATAAGATGCTTCTCCAACTTTTTTTATATAATTACATAATGAAAATATTGAATATCGAAAGTTTTAATTTTCCATGAAGTTAGCAGCGCGTAATCGATCGTAATCGATTGATCACTCGATCGTGCGAGAGCGCACTCAAGAACTAATTAGAATTAGAGGAGAATGGCAAGATATGTTCGAACGAGTTCGGACCTTGTGATTTTTTGGAACGTGCCTTGGAATTTTTTAAGACATTTTTAAAACTTTTTTTAACTCTCGAAATATATCAAATCGGAATAATGGCGTTGGGGCATAACTCTTAGAAAGGCCTGGAGCCAAATATTGAAGTTGAAGAGGAGAATAGCGTTGGGGCAAATTTCCTAGGGAAGCCTGGAACCAAAGTTGAAGAAAAAGAAGAAAATTAATTAGATCTTTAGTTTGCTGTTTGTTATAAACATCTCGATAGCTGATTGATACCAAAAAATCGAATAAACTGCGTCGAGTCGGAAAATCGAGTCGAGGACTCTTTTGAGTCCTTAGGTGTAGAACGTTGCGTGAAGTTGCTATACATTGCGCTTCCCGATCTTGCTTATCGGTGATTGGCGCGGGATTAGTTCCGCCTGCTGCCGTAGGCAGCGCCACTCTGCAGACGCACGCGAGCTGTGCAGCGAGCAAGACGACGGTTTCTCGGAGGAAAAGGAGGAATCTTACGTGCGCTCGCCAACACCAGCCTCGGTGGATGATTCCCTGAACTTCGGCCGCGCGCAGGCATTCGACGGGAGCACTCAACGAGAGGTATCATCGCGTGTCATTGAGCGAAATGGCGGATAGAAAACGCGCGAAAAAATACGTACGATCGTCAACGTACGTACCTGCCGGCGGCGCGGGGTCACGTGACGTTGGCGCGTAGGTGGTGGGTGCGCGCGGGAGTACTATGTGCACGCTCGATGTCCACGTGGTACTCGGAGGTCGTCGCGGATGTGTCGAACCTGGAAGGCGAATCTCTGAAAATCTCGCGATGCGATTCGCGCAATTAGTTGAGGCCGCAACGAAGGAAGAAACTCAGAGAGACGACGAGTGTTCTTAGCCGCGCATTTAGCGCGAAACGTGGCTGTTCGTGATCACTTTCGCGTATTGTCAATTCGGTTAGAACTAAAATTCCGACTAGAGTAACGAAAGACACGACGAGTGACAAGAAAATAAGGCCCGCGCTTCGCACTCCAAATATATCCGGCTGATTGTCTTTACATTCGATATACTCTTAAGCTATGTTCTCGCAGTTTTCTCGGACAAACGGTGTTTAGCGAGACAGACGGCCACTTTTGGGGGCGAAATGCGTTGCCAAAACAAAACGCACACATACGTGCGTCCAAGGCCCGATGGGCACGAACGGACTTATGCTCGATTCGACATTGTGTGACTCGCGAGCCTATTAC